CTCCTGGGGCACGACGTCGTACCCAACCCTTTACTCCGTTGCATTATGCTCCGCATCCCTGATCAGAGCAACCCATGTAGGCATCGTTTCCAGAAGCGCTGGCGAGCTTTGCGCGAGCGTCTAGAACAAGGTGGACGGGGCGGACGGGACAAAGGGCTGCTGGGGGGCAGCTGGGAGAGAGAGGGCGAAGGCGGTGCCCTGCGAGGAGGAAGGGGAGGGGACGCGGTGCGAAAATAAAGTAGTCGGGGCGGAGGGGGGCGCTGGGCTGCTGAGGGGCAATGAGGAGAGGGGGCTGGGGCGGCGCCCTACTGGGTGGGGAAGGAGAGGGGTAGGGAGCGCGGTGCGAAAATGACATGGTCGGGGCGGAGGGGGCCTTGGGCTGCTGAGAGACAGTGGGGAGAGGGAGCGGGGGCGGCGTCCTGCGGGGGGAGGGGGCGGTGCCAAAAATAAAAAGTGGTCGTGGCGGAGAGGGGCACTGGGCGCAGAGAGCTGCGGGGGCTGCTGGGGCTGCTGAGGGGGCGGAGGCGGCGTCCTGCTGGAGGGGGGGATCGGAACGAAAACAAAACGGTCGGGGCGGAGGGGGCACTGGGGTGCGGGGAGATAAGCGAGGAAAAGGGCGGGGGGCGGTGTCCTGCACGGGAAGTGGACTGGCGAGGGGGGGCAACAATAAAATGGTCGGGGCGGAGAAGCACTGGGCAGCTGGGCGACAATGGGGAAGGGGCGGGGGCGGTGTCCAGGGGGTGGGGCAGGGGGAACGGGGTGGGCAGGGCGGTGCAATACGAAAACAAAATGGTCGGCTAATAAAACGGGGCGCATTATTGGGCACTGGGCTAACGGGGAACACTGGGGGGAAGGGGCGGGGCCGGTGTCCTGCGTCGGCTACACGTAAGAGTGACCCTGGGTAAGAGTGACCTTTGGTGCGCGGCTTTTGGGGGGCCGCGGGGAGGCCAAATCCAGGCGCGCTAGCCGCTGCTGCCGCTGCGCGTCCGGCCATCTGGGGGGCCATCAGTGCCCGCACCAAAGGTCACTCCGGCGAAAGGTCACTCTTACGTCTAGTCGACTGCGTGGGGGAGAGGGGGGGACTGGATGCGAAAATACAATGATCGGGGCGGATGGGGCATTGGGCTGCCGAGGGGGCTAGAGGGAGAGGGGGCGAGGGTAGTCCCCTGCGGGGTGGGTGGGGAGGTAAGAAAGGGGGGGGCGGGCGGTGCGAAGGGAAAATGGCAAGGGCCGAGGGGCTGCGGCCGGCGTCCTGCGGGGGGAAGGGGGGGGGAGTGCGGCGATACAATAAAACGGTCGTGGCGGAGGGGGAACTGGGCGCAGGGGGTTGTCGGGGCTGCTGGCGGGGGGGAGGGGGCGGCGCGAAAAAATAAAATGGTCGTGGCGGAGGGGGCACTGGGCGCAGAGAGCTGCTGGGGCTGCTGGAGAACAGATGATGTGCTGGTGGACAGGGCTGCTTGGGGACCGGGGAGGGGAGGGGAAGGCGGTGCGAAACGACTGCGGCCGGGCCGGGGGGAGCCCTGGGATGCTGGGGTGGGGCAGCGGGGAGACGGCGGGGGGCGGCGGGAAGCGAAGGGGGGGAGCGCGAACAAAATGGTCGGGGCGGACGGAGCACGGGGCAGCTGGGGGACAATGGGAGGCGGGCGCGGTGTCGTGCGGGGGGGGGGAGGGGGGGGGCGGTGCGAAAACAGAGAGCGGTCGAAGCGGAGGGGCACTGGACTGCTGGAGGGGCAGCGCGGAAGAGAGCGGGGGCGGTGCCCTACGGGGGAGGGAAGGAGAGGGGGTGCGGTGCGACCATATGTGGGTTGCTGGGGGACATTGGGAAGAGGGGGCGGGTGCGGTGCCCTGCGGGGGGAAGGAGAGGGGGTACGAAAATAAAGTGGTCACTGGACTGCTGGGTGGCAATGCGGAGAAGGGGCGGCAGCGGTGCCCTGCATGGTGGGTGGGGAGGGAAGGGGGGGTGCGGTGCGAAAACGAATGGTCGGGGCAGAGCGGGCACCAGGCTGCTGGGGGACAGTGGGCAAAGGGGGTGGGGGGCAGGGCAAAAATAAAATGGTCGTGGCGGAGGGGGCACTGGGCGCAGAGAGCTGCTGGGGCTGCTGGAGAACAAGTGAACGCTGGGCTGCTTGGGAACGCGGAGGGAAGGGGAAGGGGCAGTGCGAAAATCATGCGGCTAGAGCGGATGGGGCACTGAGCTGCTGGGGGGGGTGGCGGGGAGAGGGGGGGGGAACAAAATGGTCGGGGCGGAGGGGGCACGGGGCAGCTGGGGGACAATGGTGAGAAGGGGCGGACGGTGTACTGCCGGGGGGGGGCGGGGCGGTGCGAACACGAAGCGGTCGGAGCGGAGAGGGCGCTGGGCTGTTGCGGGGCAGTGGGGAAGGGAACGGGAGCGGTCCCGCGGGGCGGGGAGGGGAGGGGAGGCCGTGCGACAATGATGCGGTCGGGGCTGAGGGGGCTCCAGGCTGCCTGGGGGGCAGCGGGCGGGTGCGAAAATAAAGCGGTCGGGGCGGAGGGAGCACTGGGCAACAGGCTGCTGGGGGGCAGTGGGAAAAGAGGGCGGGGGCGGTGCCCTGTGGGGTGGGCGGGTAGGGAAGTGGGGTGCGGTGCTTGGCTTGGCTTGGCTTGGCTTGGGTTGGCCCTAAAGGCTGGTGCAAAAAAAATCTTCCGAATCGGAAGCCCCCCCCTCAAAATCAGGGTCCACGGAAGCCGAAGAGGCCATCTGGATCGCACGACGACTCATCTCGAGCACACTGGATCGGTCCTCGACCGTCTAACCAAAGTCTCTGAGCACTTCGTCCCGCCCGCCTACCTCCCCCCCGCTCCCACGTCGAACGGGACAGGCTGGCCACAGTGGAGGAGGAAGAGGCAGCCTCGGCCTGCTCATGCAGGCCCGCTCTCACCGCTGACAACACTCCGTGGGAACGGCTTACGTAATCAGAAGTCTTTCGACCCCGCTCTGTTATGGGGGAACTCTCCTTTACAAATACGCACGAGCTGGTCCTGGGTGCCTTTCCCAACGCGGCCGAGACACACAGAGGACACAGTCCCGCTGCGGCACAGTGGAGAGAGGGGGGGCGGGGGCGGCGTCCTGCAGAGGGGGAGGCGGTGCGAAAATAAGATTATCGGGGCGGAGGGGGGCACAGGGCGCAAAGGGCTGCGGAGGCTACTGGCGGACAACTGGGCTGCTGGTGCGGTGCGAAAATATGTGGCCGGGGCGGAGGGGACACCGGGCTGCTGGGGGCAGCGGGGAAAAGGTGGCGGGGAGCGGTGTCCTGCGGTGACAAGCGGCGGGGGGTGCGGTGCGAAAGTGGTCGGGGCGGAGGGGGCACGCGGCAGCTGGGGGGGAAAGTGGGGAGAAGGGAGGGGGGCGGTGGCCTGCGGGGGAGGGGAGGGAGAGGGGGGCGCGGTGCGAACAGAGCGCGGTCGGAGCGGAGGGGGAACGGCGCCGCTGGGAGGCAGTGGGGAAGCGGGCGGGGGCGGCGTCCTGCGGGGCGGGGAGGAGAGGGTGATATGCGAACACAGAATGGTCGGGGCGGAGGAGGCTCTGGGCTGTTGGGGAGCCATGGGGCGAGGGGGGCGGGGGCGGTGCCCAGCGGGGTGGGTGGGGAGGCCAGTGGGGGGGAGGTGCGGTGCGAAAGTAAAATGGTCGGGGCGGAGGGGGCACTCGGCTGCTGCGGGGCAGTGGGGAGCGGGGGCGGGGGCGGTGTCCTGCTAGGGGAAGAAAGGTGCGATGCGAAAATGAAACGGTCGGGACGGGAGGGGCACTGGGCGCAGAAGGCTGCTGGGGCTGCCAGGGAACACCAGGGCTGCTGGGAACAAGGGGCTGCTTTGGAACGCGCTGCGGGGGGGAGGGGAGGGGGAGGTCGGTGCGAAGAGAAAACGGTCGGTTCAGAGGGGACGCGGGCGCAAAGTGGCACGGGGCTGCTCGGGATCAACTGGGCTGCTGGTGAACACTGGGCTGGCTGGGAGCGGGGAGCGGAGGGGAGGGGTGCGGCGCGAAAATAGTGTGGCCAGGGCGGAGGGGGCACTGGGCTCCTGGGGCGGCAGCGGAGAGGAGGGGGCGGGGGCGTTGTCCCGCGGGGGGGAGGGGGAGGGGGGGCGTTGCGAAAAGAAAGCGGTCGAGTCTAAACTTTTTCCGTCGGCGGCGAGGCAGAGAGGCTGCTCCAGCGGGCGGCGATGCGGAGCGACCGATGCGCGAAGTGGCCGGCGTGCAAGAGAGGGGGAGTCGGAGCTCTAAACATGGTGCACAAGAGAGTGAGCATGAAAGCTCGGAGGTCCACGCGGATTTCTCGGATCGGCGCTGGCGCGCCAGGGGCAGCGCGGGGGGCGCCGCCAAGGGGCCCCAGCGCCGATCCCAGGAATCCGCGCGGGCTCCGATGTTCCATGCTTATGGCATTGCCCGTGCCCCTTGCCAAGCTCACACGAGGACCCCAGGAAAGCACCAGGCCTCTACAGTGCCATCTAGCGGCGCCCGTAGAGGACCCCCGGGATGCTTCAGAAGGCTCCCCGAGCGAACGCTCCGCAAGAACCGCTGAGGCTAGAGGCTGACTCCTGGGTCTGCTCCAGGCATTGTTGGTAATCCGTTGTCCTGCCTGCGGCAGGCGTGCTGGACAAGTAGTGCCACCCCCTCGCAGGCCCGACCCCGGCACACCTCCTGCTCGTACCTCACGAAGGTAGCAGAGGCGGTGACGACTCCCTCCTCAGCGCTCCCTCGTGCCCCCCTTCTCTCGGGGCCCGACACGAAGCCCACGAGGCAGACTGCGGCCAAGAACAGACCGCCGCGGCTCTGCCCGTGCCGCCGGGAACCCAGGGCCTCTCCCTCTCGCCCTCCCCCCGCCACAGGAAGGCCCACCCCAGGCAGCCCCTCGAGGCGCGCCCAGGTCGTGGCCACGAGGGCCTCTCGAGACACGCCACCGACGGCCTCCGAGCCGACGACGCCGGCGTCGCCGCCCTCGGGCCTGCCCCCGCCCCCCCCGGGAGGGCGCGCACGCGCGGGGCGCCACGATGCCAGCGCAGCTGCCGGCCGCGGCGTGGATGTGGAAGGGGACGGACGCCCTGGGCCGGCGGCGGCGTCGACCGTGTCGGCACTGGCGGCATCGAGAGTGACACCGGCGACGTCGGCGTCGGCGTTGACGGCGGCGGGAGCGTCGGAGCAGGGCGGCGGCGACGGCGGCGGCAGCGGCGGCGGCAGCGGCGACGCCGACGACGACGACGACGCCGACGACGACGACGACGAAGACGACGACGACGAAGACGACGACGACGACGACGACGACGACGACGAGGACGACGACGACGACGACGACGACGACGACGAGGACGAGAACGCCGACGACGGCAACGACGACCGCGACGACGACGACGACGACGACGACGACGACGACGACGACGACGGCGACGGCGACTGCGATGGCGACGGCGACGGCGACGGCGACGGCGACGGCGACGGCGGCGGCGACGGCGACGGCGAAAGCGACTTCAACGGCAACGAAGACGGCAACGACGACGACGACGACGACGACGACGAGGACGACTAGGACGACGACGACGACGACGACGACGACGACGACGACGACGACGACGACGACGACGACGACTAGGACGACTAGGACGACGACGACGACGACGACCACGCTCAAGACCACGATTTGGGCCCGTCGCCGCGGCTAGCACGCAGCGAGCCAGGACACCATCTGGGAGAGGTCTGGGGGCGATGATTAGGGGGAGGTGGACAACGACGACGTTTGTGCTTGCGACTCCAAAGAAGTTGGTTCATCCAACACTCTTGGTCCACAGCCAAATTGTTATCCATGGCTCACCGCTCTTGGTCCCTGGCCAAACTCTGCGAGTCGATGCCAAAAATGTGGGTGGAATGATACTCGTATCGCCAAACATGAAAACACTCACCATGACACGAATTGACAAACTTGATTCCAAATCGGCCCTGCCAGAAGATCTTGTTTGCGTACGTGTCTTCCAGAAACCGTCGCATGCCCAACCCTCGCCAAGGCTTGGCCCGAACATACTGTGTCCCAGCGTTCAAGATTGCAGTTTGCACACGGCACAACAAGCTTAACATTTAAACGCACCCCGACCATGCTGCCGACCCACAAACAATCGAATTCCTAGTTCGTCTCCACCACCATCCAAACGAAGGTGAGAAGTAAGGAGGTGGATAAGGAGAAAGGCATTTCTCCTCCCTTGACCTCCTCCTCCTCCTCCTCCTCCTCCTCCTCCTCCTCCTCCTCCTCCTCCTCCTCCTCCTCCTCCCTGTCATCACCATCCCCGTCATCATTGCACCTCTTCCGCTCCTCCTCGCCCTCCTCCTCCGATTACTCCTCCTCATCCTCCTCCTCCTCCAACCCTCTTCCTCCTGACTCCTCCTAGCTCATTGCCTCCCATTTCTCCTCCACCTCTGTCTTCCCTTCCTCATGCTCATTATTCCTCCTCTTCCTCCCGTCCCCCTTCTCTTCATCTGACCAGAAGACGTGTCAGTAGAGAAAGCAGGCGTTTCGTTTGATACCCCGCTTCAACTCATGATCCTAAGCTTGAAGTCTGCAATAGCTACAATGATGAAGGGTGTGTCGAATTCCAAATGGAATACGTCTCTGTAGCGCCGCACAAAAGACTTGCATCAAGTACCAAGATGGAGGAAGGGCCGTTTTCAACATGAAGCTCTCGCCTAAGCACCGCGCACATTCGTCGTAAAGGCTTGCAGCAGCTACAAGGACGGAGGGCGAGTCCTGTCCAAAAAAACGGTCGTCATGGCGCAGCGCACGTTCGTCTTGAAAACAACATGGCAGGGATGGAGGGCGGTTCCTTTTCAAAATATTGCGCACATTCGTCGCAAGGACTTGCAATAGCCACCAAAATGGAGCGCAGTTCAGTTTCGGCATGAAGCGCTCGCCTAGCGCCGCGCACAATCGTCTTTGACGCTTGCAACAGCTACAGGGATGGAGTCCTCGCATTGCTTCACATTGGTGCTCTCGCTCGAGGGCTCCTCGCATTCAAAAACCAAAACCTTTAACTTGTATGAGCAAACATGCTCGCATCCTCGAAGGTTTGCTAGGCTGGCGCAAGGCAAGTCAATTTCACAACGGGGCTATCGCCCGAATAGCAGACCAGCGGGGTGCTAGTCTTCAACGACAGCACGTGTTTTAGTGAATATGAAGGCTTGCAAGAAATCACTTGGGGACGTGGGACGGGAGGGTGGCTTGCAGCATCGTTGGCGCATCTTGGGTTTACTCTGGTCCTCCTCAATCTCCTCCTCTTCCGCCTCCTTCTGCTGCCCCTCCTCCCGTGATCCTCTCGCTCAGTACTCCGCCTCCTGCACCTCCACCTCATGATAACCTGTGTCATCATCGCCATCAACACCACCATCACCATCCTCATCATCCTCATCATCATCATCATCATCATCATCATCATCATCATCATCATCATCATCATCATCACCATCACCATCAGCAACAGCATCATCGTCGTCCTCGTCCTTACAATCGTTGCCATCATCTTCACGACCACCATCGTCAGCAGCATCATCGTCATCATCATTAGCAGCAGCACCACCACAACCATCATCGTCATCAGTGTGTCATTTCGCCTCCTCTCTCCGCCTCCTCTTCCCCATCCTCCTCCCCTTTCTCCTTCTCATCAGCATCCTCATCATCACAACCACCAGCACCACCACCACCATCATCAGCATCATCCTGATCATCATCATCGTCATCATCAGCAGCATCATCATCGGCACCATCACATCGGTGGCATCATCCCGCTCATCACCATCACCACTATCATAGATCATCATCAACATCAGCATCATCATCATCATCATCGTCGTGAGTCATCACCATCAGCATCACCATCACCACCACCGCAACTATCATCATCAGCATCAGCATCATCATCAGCATCATCATCAGCTGCATCAGCAACAGCATCAGCATCATCAGCACCGTCATAATCAGCATCAGCATCATCAGCTGCATCATCAGCAGCAGCAGTATCATCATCAGCATCATTAGCATCAGCATCATTAGCATCAGCATCATCATCATCAGCATCATAGTCAGCATGATCATCATCATCAACAACATCATCATTCATCATCAACAGCATCGGCATCATCAGCATCATCACCAGCAGCAGCATCAATCACTAGCAGCACCATCGCCATTATCATCAACAGTACCAGCATCTGTATCGGCATCCTTGTCATCGTCATCATCATCATCCTCCTCCTCCCCCTGCTCTCCTGACGACTGTCCATTCCTCCTACTCCTCTCCTCCTTTTACCTCACCGCCTCCACGCACTTTCTTTCTCCTCCTCCTCCTCCTCCTCCTCCTCTCCTCCTCCGCCTCCTTCTGCTCCTCTCCTCCTCCTCCTTCTCATCCCGCTCTCCTCCTCCTCCTCCTCCTCCTCCTCCTCCGCCTCCTCCTCATCATCCCCCCCCTCCTCCTCCTCCTCCTCCTCCTCCTCCTCCTCCTCCTCCTCCTCCTCCTCCTCAATTTTGGCTCAAGCGATCGCACGGCCCTCCTCGTCTGCGCCTCTCTTCGGAGGCGACGGCATGGCGGGGCCTAGAGGGGCTTCGGCGCTGGCCGCGCCCGCGTGGGCTGCTTCCTTGCTGGAGGCGGCTGTGCGCGGCGCCGTGCTGGCCCAGGCGCCGAGGCGCACTGTTGCTGCTGTGGCTCGCTCTGCCCTCTCTGCCGCGACCTTCGCGTGCAGGGAGCGGCAGGAGCCCCCCGCTGGTGCTGCCCACGGCGCACCTGCTGCTGCTGCTGCTCCCGCCGACGCCTCCGAGGCGAAGGCAGCGCGGCGGCGGCGACGCCGCCTGCGCCTCGCGGCGCGGCGGCGCGAAGGGGCTGGCGCTGCTCCAGCGGACGGCGGAGGTGCGCCTGCGGCTTCGGCCGCGGGCCTGCCGCTGGTCGCGCTGGCTGCTGCTGGACCCGAGCCAATGGAGGCGGACCTCGAGGACGACTCCTGGGCCGACGTGCCGCCTTTGCGCGCGGCGCGGAGGCGACTACGGCGCACCGACACCATGGCTGGTGAGGTGGATGCGGAGGCCGCGGCTCCTGCTCGGGGAGCGGGAGGCGCTGCTGGGCGCACTGGCGCTGGCGTGGCGGGCGCGGCGGCTGCGATGCCTGCTCAGGGAGCGGGAGGCGCTGCTGCTGGAGGCGGGCTCGGCGACCCGATCGCCGCCCTCCTCGCTGTCGCCACGGCCGCGGACGTCGAGGCCTGGCGCCTGGCCTGCGGCGTCGGCGGCAGGGCGGCGGCGCGCTTGGCCGCCCTGGGCCTGTCGGGCGCCGGCTCCGAGGCGGGGCCTCATCGCGGAGCTGGCGGCGGAGGTCGTGATCGGCCTCAAGGTCGGGGGTCCTGAGCACGCCGCTGGAGGCGCAGGACTCCCGTGGTCGGGGGACCTGGGTTCGCCGCGGGAGGCGCAGGCCCCCCGTGCTCGCGCGTGCGCGCGGGCGGGCTGGGGCGGGCAGGTTCGACTGGCCGCCTCTGGGACGCGGGCCTCCTCCTCCTCCTCCTCCTCCTCCTCCTCCTCCTCCTCCTCCTCCTCCTCCTCCTCCTCCTCCTCCTGCTCCTGATCATCCCCCCTTCCTCCTGTTCACTCCCATCCTCCTTGTCCTCCGCATCCCTATCCTCCCCCTCCTCCCCGCACCCACCCACACTACCCCTGCCCAAACCCCCCATACCCCCACTCCGCCTCGGTCATGTCCCGTCCTCTATCTTCCTGCCCTTCCGCCTGGTCCTCCTCCTCCTCCTCTCCTCCTCCTCCCCTCCTCCTCCTCCTCCTCCTCCTCTCCTCCTCCTCTCCTCCTCCTCCTCCTCCTCCTCCTCCTTCCTCCTCCTCCCCCTCCTCTCTCCTTGAGCTCCCCCTCCTCCTCCTCCTCCTCCTCCTCCTCCTCCACCTCCTCCTCCACCTCCTATCCCTCCTCCACCCTCCTCGTCCTCCACCCATGTTCTCTATAGCTAGATCCTCCTCGCCTGACCACCAGGCGTGTCGGGAGGGCGGGCCAGGCGTTTCGCCTTAGACTTCATGCCCGCCCC